GGATGGAGGGATGGAGGGATGGAGGATGGAGGGATGGAGGGATGGAGGGATGGAAGGACGTTATTGTTCGGTAGGGGATTCCCTTCCATAAAAATCTGAGGCAGCTGTCCTCCTGAGCTCTTTGTCCCTTTTGTCTCTGCTCCACTTGAACTTGCTTCAGGCTCACCAGGCCTGTCTCACTAAAACCTATTCAATGATGTTTGTTTTTTGCCTGTGTTTTAACACTTGCCTGAAGTGAAACACTGCATTGTGACTGAACAAGTTTATCCCTTTTTGGTCAAGGTGCTATCTTCTCAATAAAACTTTGCATTTCTCCCCTTTTCCCAAGCATTTCCTGGAATAGAGAAGTAGGAACATGCTCCCTTCCCTCCTCCGCTGAAGCCCCTTAGCTGCCGTCTGCTGCTGCTCCCTCTGAAGGTCTTGGAGTTCCTTGGTGGTCAGCTCGGTGTTGTGGTCCCCCACCAACTCCTCCACACTGTCACCATCCGCCTGCACGCCCAGGGACTTGCCCGGGGACACAGTATCCTCCACAAAACACACAGGCGATTAGCCCTCCATGTCACAGTCAACTTGTTTTCATGACATTGTTTTTCTTGAAAACTTGCGGATTTTCAGAATGTTGGATGAGTAGAGGCTTCAACTTAAAGTCCCCACTTGCATTCCCAAGGAACAATTAAGTCAGCTGCCCTCCATTGGCTTGCGTCCTGGCAATGACTTCTCCTCCTGTCTGATGTAGGTCCTCTTTGGCATTTTCTTCCAGAAGAGGCCTATCTGATCACAATTGAACGCTAGTTGGGGAACAAATCCTTTGGCCTTTATGTATTGTTCAAATTCTGTCAACAAAATGATCAGCAGCTGCTTTGTTAGAACTGGCAGCTTCCCCGGGCCTCACTACACTACGAATGTCACTTCTTTTCTTAAATTTATCGAACCCCACCCCCTACGAACCTTTAACGGATCACTTTCAGCACTCATTCCAAGGGTGTCTTTCAGGAGGTCAGCATGCAGCATCTTCACTTTTTCACATATCGTTGCCTCTGAAATGCTATCACCGGCTAACTTCTTTTCATTTATCCAAGTCAACAACAATTTTCTACTTCTTCAATAGCCTGTGGTCATTTTTTCATGAGCACTGTCACAACCTTAGCAACATCGGCACTCCTGATGGCCTCTTTATATTTTAAAATTGGGCTAATCATCGATTTCTCCATGCGATGCTCGGTAACCAGATCAGACACTCAAACACCTCTATCATACTTTGCAGTTATTTCTTTTTTAAGCTCTATTGTTGTTCTCACAACTTTGCTTTTCCTTTTGCTGCTATCACTAACTTTCTTAGGACCCATGGTGACATACTATACATATTTAATAATAATAAGCATCAACAAAAGCCAAAAAAACACAAAAATATTCACAGCACAATTTCCTGAGATGTTAACAACGCAAGGTTTAGCATGACTCGTACTTGTGCATTCTCTCCTTTGTTTGTTTCCTGAGAGACATGTGACTAATCATGCAGGTATCAGCATAAAAGGGTTGTCAGGTCCAAAACCGAAGTTTTGTTGGACAACCGAGACGTTTTTACCTTGAACAGCTCAGTAGAGAACTGCGTTGTTCAAAAAGGGAGACATACGAGAACTGAGGTTTGACTGTAATAAAATCAGTTTTCCAGGTTGTGGTTCAATTTCAGAATGCTTTCCTATTATGAAAAGAAAGGTTACCAACAAAGAATGGGAAACAATCAGAAGCTTTAAGGATGAATGGACTCGGCTGCATATGTGTTATAGGAATTGGGCCCTGAAAGAAAGCTTCATAGAAGCCATAGGTGTTGGACTAGGGTTTGAATTGCAAACGCTTGAATTTGCCATATCCTCGTTAAACCTGGAGACAGGCCATTTTTATAAAGAAACACATTTGTCTCTGGATGGAAAAGACGAAAAAGAATGGGTGCTTGAGGAAAGCAAAATAGATGAGCCCGATCTCGTTGCAGTAGCTCTTAGGAAACACATGGGTCCAGACATCAGGATGCTTCATCTCAAGATGATTCTAAACTACCCAGGAGCAATTCACTATTAACTGTGGTGATTTAGTATCATCTGCTGTTCCCATGAGCCCTGAAGACCCTTCATTTTGGGACTGTTTTTACTTCACAGAGGAAATTCTGATAGGAAATAGTACAAAATCATGATATGATAACTAAGGAAGGGAAATGAAAACTGTAGTATTCTGTATTCACTAAAAAAATAAATCCCTGGTCTTATCCAATTTCATCTCACAAAACACTTTGGAAAAGAAAAATACAACTTTTCTTCTTAAAAGAGCATACTCCCAGTTCAAGATAGCTTAGGAAAACACATGCTTACACTTCATTCCTCCCCAGGATCACACTGAACTGACAGAGAAACAGAAAAGGGTGGCAGAATCTTGAGTGATACGCTCAGACCTCATTTTATTGTGCTTCACTTTATTGTGTGTCACAGTGGCTGCGTATTTGACATGTGGAAAGTAAGGAGACTCTCCACCAGCAAAAAGATTATGACTCATTTTATTACAGAGATCTGGGACCGATCCCTCAATATCTCTGAGGCATACTGAACATGCTTGTAGAAAAAAACAGAAAAAGCAAATATGCAATAAGGAAACATTTAAATTTCTGTCTTTCAGACACAACTATATCAGAGATAACTATTTCTAAAAACTTTTTCTTGGCAAATAAATTCATATTAATATAC